CTGATCATAGAATTCAACTCTTCCATAAATCTTGGGGTACCATGGCACAACATGATCCATGGTTCATAGACACCCTTTGCATTAGGGCCTGTAAATAGCAGCCTTTGCAAAGGCTATGGCCATACTATGGAATCATAAAGCATCTTGTTAAAAAAAAGATGTAGATTCCTCATCGGAAAGTTTTTGCTTGTTTGTTTCTTTCAATGATGAGAGACTCTATTCACAAAAAGATGGCATTAGCCCTTGATTGCAATTAAATCCTATTAATTTTGTCTAATTTTAAGTGCTGAATATGTAAAACGTTAACTGCAAACTTCGTGAGCTATAATATAGTTAGCATATGTACTATATTCACCTTTACATATATGCACAAATGTTAAATATATTTCTTTGAAAGTACTTTAATAACATTCTAACTAAAGACGATGCTTCAACAGCAACTTTTTGAGAGATCTACTGTCACTGACTATTGCCACTTTAACCTTGTCTCTCAGTAAGCTGTACACCTTCACATTCACTGTTAAGCAAGGTCTATTAGACCGCAAGCTATAGGTTCACTTCATTCAGCAACTCTCTTCATATTCAAAACAGTCAAAACATTTTGCAAGAAACTACTTATTTTGCTACATCTCTGTATTAGATTCTCCAGTCATTTTAGATTTTGCAGTGCAGAATATGTATAGGTCTATCTTACCTTTCATGTGTTCCACATAGCAATATACATCATAAGTTTCATTAGGAAAACGGCGTCCGTATGTCCTGATTCCTTTCTTTCCCATTTTATCTCCAAAGCAGCCGATTCTCGGATATCTAATTGGATATCTGAAATGCAGCATAATCACGTTTGTTATTATGGTAAGTCAGCATTAAGTCTGCACAGGCTAAGCATATTATTTTTGGAAAATGCTGTCTAGAGACCTTTTAAATATCTCACCTAACAGTCTGGTCAGCCAGCCAGCCAGCATCACATTGTTCAAATCCATCTTCATAGGCTGCTTTCAGTTGTTCAGGGCTTGCTATGACAGCACCATTGTTCAGACAAGTCTGTTGAGCTTGTGTAAAATTCAGAGTATACCTGCTGGTTGCAGCACGATAGTGAAATACAACACCTGCAAAGATAACAAACTCACATTACTGACACAACTTGCAGCATTTTTTGCTATTCTCACTATATTGTAACTTTCCCTAGATGCTGTTACAATGCTGAAAACAGACTGGTATAATAAAAGTAGTAAGAATCTAAAAATTACTTCAAAATTACTAGACTGATACAACATTTCATTTGGGATCAAAAGCATTTCTGCTCAGCACAACCACAAAAAGGTTCATTAATTTAGCAAGAGATAGCAACATATTTCTCTGAACTCGTTTTTTTAGAGCTTCATATTGCTTAAACATGCAAGTGCATTTCCAAGAACCAACTATCTTTCAACTCTCCCATTTTTGAAGTAACCACTGCTTTTCTCAGTTGGCATATACTGGCAATCTCTGAGATAGCCAAACAAGGCAAAACTAAAGAATTGTATCAGCGTTGGTATCACTCCCAATTTACAGTAGCTTTTACAGTGTTGAGAAAAAGCCTTTGGCCATTTGTAAATCCTGGAAAGGAACTTGGAGAAGGCTTTGTTCTCCTCACCCTGATCCAAGAGGTAAACTTCACCTATTAGAGTTTAAGGCTCTTCCATTTTCAGTGAGGGAGGAGCTAATGGACATAAAAGAGCCTCCAAGATGAATGGGAAGGAGGAAGTCAGTATATATAAGCCTGTCCAATAGCTGCAATAATTAGAAGAAACCCTGGGGCTAAGGAGATTCAAGTGCAGGACTTACATTGCCCCTCTTTCTGTGTCTAATTGAAACAAAATCCATTGTCCGAGTTTTTACAATTTAAAACGTTTGTAAAGGATTTTTCCCCCCCCTTTGTCTATTTGCTTTCTGCAAGAAAGGGCAAGAAAATAAGTTGCCCGAGAACAAATAAAGCAACTAGAAAACAGACTACAGCCATATAACATTGTTGCTGGACATCTGGCAAACCAATAAAGCATAGCTACAGGAAGGAGTAGCAGTGACTACTTCTAAGCAAGAACGAGCACTCATAAGAAAGTAATTTGAGGTATCCGAGATTCATTGCCCAAGTGACAGAATTTTGTCCGAGAAAGAATGTCTTTTAGTCAATTATCTGTGTGTTACACTAACGAGAGAAAAATGTAAAGTATTTCACTTCTAAGAAGCAGGACTTACATGCCTAAGAGACTAGTCCAGGGGTTTCACATCTTTGGGCTGCACCATTGCTTTTTAACTTGCTAGGGTATCATGCTGCAAAACTTGGAGGAATTGCTAGAGGGAGGCTCACATAAGACAGCTCATACTTAACTGTGGCCAATAAATTACCATTCACTATCACTAGTGAACTCATATTGCTGCAACATACCGTCTCAGAGTCACACAAAGCCCGAATCTGGCAAGCTGTCTGATCTGGCAAATGATACCTAATTGGGTTTTTCAAACAGCAACCCAAGAGAAAAGACTAAGATTACGATGTCAGAGGTCGCAATTCTGTTTATTTTTAGGTTCAAATGATAGTCTGAGAGGGACAGGCCTCTCAAAGATCCCCCATCTTATTTCCAAATCTAATCAGATTCTACATAAATTTGATGATTCTCCCTGCCTTTAATGCAGAAAACAATTTACATCAAAAATGCACACCAAAATAGAGGCTATAGAACAGGCCACTGCATGAAAGGAAGGAATATGGCAGCATTTTCAGCTTCCTGCATGAATAATTCACTTGTGTTCCTCATTTGAGGTTTTGCACTCATCTTCTGAACCCTGTCCTAGGCTCTGGAAGCAGAAGCTGCATTGCATCAGCAGGAGCTCCATTGGCAAATACCTTGGAGAGCTTCTCAGCATGCAGACAAAGTGCAGAGCAACTGCTTTGCTCCCATGCATCCACAAGGGCTTCCTGCTCTCCAGAGGCAGGAACAGCTTGAACTGACTAACTTTGTTTCTCTGCACAGTTTGGGGTGTTTGAGCTGTACAGAAAAACACAGCTGCATGCACAGGTACACAAACTGCTGTGAACAAGCTGGTCCAGAGAGGATAAGCAATTAATGCTGTGCTCTACCTAACCTTTTCATGGGGCAGATTCTCCTGAGTGGAGGACCTCCTTGCAAGTACCCATAGAGACTAAGCCAGTGCTGATCAATTAAAAATAGAAAAATCATGCCACGCCCAACAACTGCCCTCCTCAGCTGCTCTGCAGAAGTAGTAATGCCATAAGGCTGATGCAGCTCCCAGAGCTCTTTGTTTGCAAGTCCTCCAGGCTGGCACAAAACCCCACCAGGCTGCACATCAGCAGCCATTTTGCCAATCCCTGCAGGAAGGGGATAGCAGCTTTCTTGGGGCATTTTTACTTCCCTGCTCTTGAGGTGCACTGTGCATAAACCCTGGGTCTTTTCTTTTTTTTGACCAGGAATAAACTCATCTCTCCTTCCCTTTGATAGCGGTTAGTCATTGTGCTCTTCCAGTTTCAGCTGTGGAAGCTGGAACCTCCTTAGATGAGTAATTCAAGGCAGAAAGCACAATTTTAAAGATGTAGCGGTCTTAATTTAGTTAGCAAGGAAGAACTCATAAGGGTGCATGACATAATTCTGAGTGATTAAATAAAAAAAATCTCTTCAAATGCCATGCTTAAGAGATAATGAAGGAGAATTCTGGCTTTAGACAATAAATCAATTAGGTTGTCAACATACAATCTCTCAGGGCTAAGAGCACAATTGAGGAGCACTGTTCCGGCATTGAAAACAATTCCCATTTATTATCATTATAATGCCTTCAAGAAAGAAGAGTTTGCATAAAAATGAAAATGTGAATTATCATCTAAGTCTGCTTCTCTAATTGTTGCTTCTTCCCATTAACTAAATCAGTATTGTAGGATTTTCCTTAATGGCTTTTTTGCTTTTTAGAAGAAGAAAAAAAAAAAAAAAAGGCGCACACACACTCAGAATTGCAGCAAAATCAAATAAAAACAACAGATCTATGAAAGAAGCAGTTTCACAAGATACCAGTAAGAAAAGGATAACACTAATCTGCAGACATTTCCAAGAGAGTTATCAAAAATCATCTCAAACAATGATTTATTCAGATTTTCTTCTGGATTAGACATAGTCAGATGTTATTTTATTGCCCAACACCATAGCAGAACACAAGTAGTTCACTAAATGTCCAATCACGTTCCAGAATGAAGAGTGCTGTTACTTGGCACTCATAGGTCAGATTTTTTTTTGCTAAGGTGCCTTAAAACTACTCTATAAAAGTCAGTTTTATTATATCTATCAAGAGAAAACAGGGACAGAGAGATGTAGTAGTACTTCTTTCTAAAACCTTTGTGGGAGTCAGTTCACCTAGGTTTGCTTCCTAGTAAAATTATAGCAAACGTAAGTTTTAGCTTAGACTTCTAAGATAAACTAGTCCTCTAAGTCTCTAATCAATGGAGGGGGATATAGACTGCCAGTATTGAGCTCACCCAAGACGCTCACCAAAGAGCAGCTGACTGAGGCAAGAGCCTACATGTTGGACTTAAGATGGGGGGGCTGTTCTAATCTAATAGTTGAAGTTAAAATAAATCCCACCCCAATTTCAGCTCTTGATTTCAAAACTGGAGTCATACACCATATGTTCAACATAGAATCACAGAATGCCTAAGGTTGGAAGGGACCTCCAGAGGTCATCCAGTCCAAACCCCCTGCACACACAGGGTGCCCTAAAACACATGGCACAGGACTGCATCCAAGCAGGTTCTGAAGATCTCCAGAGAAGGAGACTCCACAACCTCTCTGGGCACTCTGTTCCAGTGCTCTGTCACCCTCACTATTAAGAAATTTTTCCTTAAGTTCCTGTGGAACTTTTGATGCTGCAGTTTGTGGCCATTACCTCTAGTTCTGTCAGTGGCCACCAGTGAAAAGAGGCCAGCACCATCCTCCTCACTGCCTCCCTTGAGGTATTTATATACACTGATTAGATCCCCTCTCAGCCTTCTCTTCTCCAGGCTGAACAGGCCCAGCTCCCTCAGCCTCTCCTCATAGGGCAGATGTTCCAGGCCCCTCAAAAATTGTCTGGTTCTGTCTTAGTAAGAGATTAATGTCAGGCAATCTAGTCACAAATTAACTACAGTGGATCAATTCTTAGGGCAGGACTTTATGGGATTCAGTGCACCACACTGGGGTTATTCCTCCCCAGGTGCAGAACCTTGCACTTGGCCTTGTTGAATTGCATGAGGTTTTTCACCGCCCAGTTGTCCAGTCTGTCCAGGTCCCTCTGGATGGCAGCGCAGCCCTCTGGGGTATCAGCTACTCCTCCCAGTTTCATATCATCAGCATGATAATCATGAAATTGCATTTGGTGAACTGTTAGCAGGCAGATGAATACTCAGGAATGGCCTTCAGAGGGCATCTCCTGCTGGTAGCCAACCTCTACATGGTATCCATATTCCTCTACTGGCACAGAGGTGAAAATCCAAAGCCCTGCAAAATGGGAAAGCCCCATGAAATGGGAAGGAAGAGGCATATACGTTTGCCTCTACTACTGGTAGCTAAAGCGAAGGGAAAGCCATCCTGCTTAGAGGTCTGAGGGCTCTGGCCTGGCTTGATGTTTTTAGATAACAGTGGGAAGAAAACAATCAAGACTGAAGGAAAAATAACTTCAAGCATTCAAAAATTAAGAGGCTGAGGCTTCCTACTGCAAGATGGTTTGAACTGTGGATTTAATAATAATGATAATAAGAAGGGTCCAGAAGGAAAACTGAAAATGCTATAGAAAGATAAGATTACAACAGCTGGCAAAAAGGGTATTTCCTGAGAAAAGGGGAAGATGTCAAATAGAGCAAAGCATAGAGAAGACAGATAACACCTCAAAAGGAAAAAAATACGAATGACATTTTGCATATTCCACCCTTTTTTTTTTTTTTTTAAAGGAGAGATCCAAGCATATAATGCTGTAAGACTATTAGCTCTACTTAAGCATGAAATTTTCCTGCTTGAGGAATCAGAGCTCTAATTGCAACCAGGGTGTATGGAAACTATTCCCCACAATTAGTAACAGGAAAGGAGGTGTCCTGTGAGATGAAACCGCCCTTCCGTCTTCCTAGGGCTCCCTCACAAGCACCTGTATCAGTTACACTTAGCTTAGAAGAGCTGACCAAAACACAGTGCTGAACTGTGTTAGCTGCCAGCTTTGCAGTTAACACCTTCACTCTGAAAAGAAGATTCTCCAATACTGTAGCAACGACAGTCAATGAAGAATGTACACAGAATAAGCACAAGAGATCGTATTTCTTCTTAGGCAGTTGTTACTTTTTGAGGCTTCAGCCTAAAGTAGACAGTACACTGAAAACTAGCTATATTTGGGATTTTTTTTTTTAATAAAAGCTGAAATCACAGATGACCAGCAATCTAATGGAATAGAAATATTGAGGGGCAACAATTTTATGAGCCTGATAAATTCTCAATTGTTGCCTCAGTATTTTACTTTTTCTATTAAGTAAATAAATGCTATTTAATAATGCTATTTTTCATTTAGATCAAGATCTAGCCTTTTCCCTTTCCCAAATTCTGGCATTAGAGCAATCACTAACAGCACTGACAGAAAGGCATGTGAAACTTTAAAAAAGAAAATATGAACTCTGCATCTCACAGTGTTTTTCAGCAGCACCAGGTATACAAGCTGAAGTATTGGCATAAATCAGACATTACAGTAAATGTCCGCTGCTTCTGGATATAGATATGTAGTCAAGGGAACAATTTAAAAGCAATAAGGAATGCTAGGTACATTAGTTACTGAAAAATAATGTTCAAACCAGCATTTCTTCTGCCTTTGCCAGTCAGAGTACACAGCCTGTGAAGTTATACAGACATTAATAGTTATACTGATTTATTGTATTTCCAAATTAAGATGATACCTCTAAAAACCTTTCATTGAATCAATGCCAAACAACTGCTAAAGTTGCATTAAGCATATTGGAAGAACAATGAAGTATTAAGCTTATGAAAAATCTTAGCCAAAGCCATGACTTCCAGCAATCAATATTAATGTTTGCTTTGGGATTCAGTCATTGGAATAAATACTCATGAAACCTTCATAAAAACACCTAAATGCAAAAGGAGTGCTAAGCAAAGAGTCCAAGCTAATGTTCATGCAAGCCTGATACATACACATAGAACAACATCCTAAGCACACAGAAAAATTTGGGCCCAAAATTTGCATTAACATGGCACTGTGCCTGAGCTAATATGTCCCGACTTTCAGCACAATTTATTAGTTCAGGCTCAGCACCACGCTGACAGAGCTACGCAGCAAGTATAGCCTGCTCCAGTATACAGATATACACACACACACGCAGCAGTCTCTACCCTGTACTCACTGTGCTGTATAAGCATGCACCTAGGAGCAAAGCACAGAGATCAAGTACTTTTGTCACTTATGCACTTTTTAAAGTCCTGTTTGTTACATATCTTTACATGTACACTTCTTCCCCTCAAAGTTTTGGATGCCATTTCTTTACAGTACTTAAAAGTCCACCCTCAGCTTGATCTTCCATGAAAGAAGATTAGCAGTTATCTCCTTTTTTGCTTTTCTGCTAGAAAAGCAAAACTCCTAACTGCCCAACCTTTCTTATCATGTCAAAGGAAATTCTTCCTTTGTGACTGACATTCATACCACAGAAAGAATAGTTCCCAGTATAGTTTGCATTATTTTTTGCACAACCAGTGGCAAGTGATGCCAACTAGAACTCCAGTGGCAAGACAATGGCTTCTTCTCATCCTACATAAAAAAAAAAAAATTGTTTCTGCCTGCCAAGTTTATCTTCTTGTAAAGACATTGAGACATATATTATTATACTGCGCACGAGGGCTCAAAAGAGTTGGTTTTGGAAAACAGAGATTTATCCTGAAAAAAAGACTGTAAAAGCAGGAGCTCATCTTGCAAAGAAGATGAGCAAAGTATTAAACTACTTCAGGAACAAACGTGAAATGTGAAAAAATAGCGAAATGGGGAACTACAGACTGAAAAAGATTCCTAAGAATAAACAGAAGAAAAGCAGAGAAATGGAAGCGTCAACAATTAAAGAACAACAATTTGCTAAAGACGCTGCTTTAAATGTCCTCTAGTTGTATCACAATTATTATTTTTTATTGCAGTCACTGCTGATAATAAATAAGCAATTCCTTACCATCAACAGCCAACGATACAATGCCTTGTGCGTCTTCAACTCCGTACATAACATCGCAGCGATACACGCCTGCATCGCTGGCGCGCAGCTTAGAGAGAGTCAGTGAAGCATCACCCGTCTCCTCTGAATGGGTTGGAACAGAGGCTCTGTCTTTGTAGTTTTGGCCCATTTTGATGGTGCCATTTTGGGTAACCAGGACCGTGGTTTCTCTTGCATCTTTTCCATTTTTATCCAGTTCAACCTTTGACCATTTGATTCGAAGATATTCAGGTGCGTAGCTGGAGGCAATAGTGGGTGTAGTTGAAAAGAAGCATGGCAGGACTGAAGTTCCCGAGAGGGATCCCTTTACCTGGGCTTTTTTTTCTGCTTTGACTAGAAGAAAGGGGAAGTCACATTAGGGCACCAGCAAACTAGAAAAAATATAAATTACAGTGTTATTTAAGGATTCACAGTCATTGAATATGAGAGTCTCACAATCCTTAGGTGGTTCTCACCCAGACTGATCAAAAAAAAAAAAAAAAAAAACACCCCCCACCACCACACCACACACACACCACACAAACAACCACCACCACCACCACCAAATACTGCTCCAACAACCCGAGTCCTTGATTAAGCCCAAAGGCCCTAGTCTCCACCATTCTCCTAGATAGGCAAATTAATTCACTGCTTGATGACTTGCTTTCTCCATTTGTTATAACCATGAAGTTATTGACATGTTTTGCAAACCATTTTGAATTTTTCAGCTGCCAGATGGATTGCAAGAGCTATGTTTTGTTACATCATAGGAGTAAAGGCAGTCTCAGTGAAAGAGGGCGAGTTGCTGCTATCCAGCAGCATGCACATAGCAGAGCTACTGATAAGCTATACGTTCATGCTCTTACAAGAGCTTCTTTAGGCATTCACATCCTAAGGGTAAAACATAGCCTATGACTTTGCATAGGTTTCATTACACTACTCCATTATTCTTAAAAAGGGTTAACCCTTTTTATTGCATATGCACTGAAACAAAAGTCTGTCCAGCCAGATTCTAACTAGTCATTCTTTTAAAATTATTTCCTTGCAGACACAGAGCCTTTAACATGTTACAGAAATAAAGTATTTTAGGATGTTAAAGCAAAGAAGTGCACAGAAAGCCCCTGCTTGATTCAAACTTGACATGATAGGACCTTTATCAATTTTATGACATCCCCAGCTGCAAACACTTTACAGTGAAATGCTTCCATTTGACAATATGCTGAGGGAAAAGCTGACTACTGTTCATCCAACCTCTACACAGCAAATGTCTAAGAAGAGAATTTCTGTTGGATACTATTATACACCAGCTTTTAACCGTCATTAAGTATAGTACAATAACAAATATCTGTGTATTTATATACACATGCATACATATCCTCTTCCATTGTCCTGCACTCAGTTTAGGAAAGCTGAAAATGCTGATTACCAATTTCAAGTTATCTAAGATTCATAAAGTTTGGGAAAACAGTAGCTTCAAACAAGTACTGGCCACAATAATGCATGAAATATCTGCCTATCTACCATCAAAAATATTATCTCTGCATGTACAATGCAGATTTTTAAAGAAAAAAAAATGAGGAAGAGAAATAGAAAAAAATATTTCTTATTTACTTTTATCAGAGACCTTTATACAGCAAAAAGTATTAGCAGTATTACTTTGAAATGATTCAACAGAAGAATAATCATCTTGATATGTTAAGATGTTAACGGTTAAGAATAACCATTTTGATATGTTAGGAAAAACTGCTAACTAGAAAAATGGAATAATCGAACTGACCACTGAAGAATCACAATTTGGAACAGAAGTGCTCACGTTCCTTCCATTCATACCTAACTCAAGTATGGCAAAAACCAATTTGCAAAACAGGAAAGATAAAAAAAACACCCCCCCCACACACCCCCCACCCCACCCACAAAACACACACACGCACACACACACACACCACCACCACCACCACCCACACCCACCCACCACAACACACCCACACCCTCCCCCCAGGAACAGCACAAGAACTGAAGACTGGGAAATTCTCAAGGCTTACAGACAAGCCAGTAGAAGTTTATAAAGTCTAGCTCAAAAATTTTGTTTGCATATACATTTCTTTAAAAAGTTGTGGCTATTACCTGCCATGAAATACAAAATTGACTCCCTAGAGTCAATTGATTGCCATAAACTAGGAAGGACTGGCTTTTTCAGTAGGAAACAAAACTGGTTCATATCACATTTAACTTATTGTAACTTTAGCAAACAACAGTGGTGTAGAACTAAATAAAGACCAAATCTTGTCAGCTGTGATAGAATTACTGCCAAATTGCGCAGGTGGGAGATTAAAAACAGTCTCCAAATATTTAGTATTTATCATCATCTCTTGCCATTTAAATACATATTGGGAACTTCTTAAACAAAAAATGACCTACCTTAATTATCCTGACTGAAAGAATTCTAATAGATTTAGAGATCTCTCTTCGGTTGCAAGTGAACTGGAATATCAGTACTGACCCCCAAGGAAATTTCCTCCCTTTAAAAAACTGTATCTTCACATTCAGTAGACTGAAAACTTTTGGCAACAAACACAACTCATAGTGATATGCAAACTAGATCTATCATAAATTGGGCTGATCCCAGAATAGGGAAGATCATGCAGCTACAAATACGTCTGTCTAACTGCAGAATTCTTATAAAGTACTTTTATAAAAAAAGCACTCTGTTTTGACTTGCAGATGGATAAGCAGAGCAGAAGAGGAGGAAAAACAAAACCCATGAACTAAAACATTGGATTAAGTGATGTGCCTGCATTGCCCCCAAAAAACAGGACTTCCTGCAACAGTCCAAGCTAACTACCCAAGCTGAGTTTACTGGTCAATGCAGACATCATCACTCTTCTCCTATTAAACCATTCCTATTAACTAATCCATTTCATTAATCAAATCCTATTAATTGCTTTTGTTCCTTCTACATTTCATCTTGGGCTCATGCTCCATACTTGGTCTGTTTTTCATCATGGTATGGTATAAATTCCTTAAACAGTGTGTGGCTAGCAAAATACAAAATGTTTTCTTGCTTGATGGCTTGTTTGTAACTCTGTAAATCTGAACACAAGCTGAAATGGGAAGATACTTACTAATTCATTAGGACAGAAATTCCCTACTGTTGAACGCTCTTTTATCCCATGGGCCATGTATGACCTAAAATATTAATAAGATCGTGCACTTCAGAACTGTTCCCCTCTTTCTTTTTTTGAAGTGACTAACTTGTTTGGTGATGACTATGATGAACATAGTCATTTTTTCTTTTGCTATATAATACATGCAGTTGTTAAGCAAAATTAATTCACTAGGGAAAATACACAGGCAATGAAGAGAGAAAATACACAGCTAAGTACAAGTCATTTGGACCCCTGCTGTACATCCTGGAAGAGTCAATGAGAGTTTGGTATGAGATGAGACTGCAGGGCTGTGCCCAGAGCAGCACACAGTCAAATTATTACAGGGTCATATTGTGGCTCAGGAGGTTTTTAAAAATAAATAAATAAATAAATAAATAAATAAATAAATAAATAAATAAATAAAAACATTAAATAACATCAAGTACTCGGTATGAGCAATGAGAGAAGGCAGAATGAAAACTTTCCCCATGTGAGATCCTGATAAACAGGCCTGTCGTGCATAAGTGACCAAATAAGACAGGAATCAGTTATATGGAAGTCCTACCTTCCCCAAATCTAAGGCTAAGGTTTGTATTTTTACCAGTTTATTGGGGGCTCATGGTGCATGGGACTAAGGAAAGACTGAAGGGATGTGACACTTGCCAATGTTGTATGCATGAAGGCAAAGTGTAGGTTTCAGCTATAGTCAAAAACTATGAGCCTTTCCCCATCTTATGGCCCAACATCCTAGAGCCATTCCTTAAAAAATGACCTAACCAAATGCTGCAATAGTTTTGGAATGCATTATTAAGTAAAGGGACATTCTTAAAGACAGGTAGCTCGATAAGCTATAGATCTGCATCCATAAACCTCCTGGAGTTCCAGGGATGACCAACAATGGAAACAGGTCCCCACTCGAGGTGGCAGAAGATCCCCTCCACGGCCCACCTCACCTCCACCGGTGACCACGTTCAACAGGTACAAGGCCCTGGAACATGTGGATCAGATAGAGGAGGCCTTGAACCAAGGCCCGTCTAGGGGGCTCTCTCCTGAGAGGCAGTCTGGTCCATGCTGCAAGGCTGCTCCCCCTAAAGTGAAAAGGAGCACCCAGAAGAAGCGGCGGGTGATCGTCGTGGGTGACTCCACGCTGCAGGGCACGGAGGCACCGATATGTAGACCGGACCCCTCATCCAGAGAGGTCTGCTGCTTGCCAGGGGCCAAAATAAAGGATGTCACAGAAAGGCTCCCAAGAATTGTTCATGAGTCTGACTATTATCCTCTACTATTG